AATTTATGCTAAAAAAAAAAAAAAAAAAAAAATTTAATCTAACAAGATAGCGATTAAAAATTAATATTAAATACTTGAATTTTAAAATTAGTTTGAAATGTTCTGCAAATTCGATATTTGAATTGACATTTGTAACTTTGCCAACTATAAGGGATAAATATAAACACCAAGACATGACATGATATCTCAAAACGGCCTTTTCTTGTCCATGAGTTCAATTTTAATATTTTTAGCAAATCCAATTCAATCAACTCAATCATAGCTTGATTTAATTGATTTCAGTATTCAGAGATTGAGTGTTTGAGGGGAGACTTCGACTTTGACTTTACTTTTATATTTAGAGATGCATTATAAATAAACTTGGATAATATTAAACTAGAAGAAGGCTCCTAACATAATCATTATAATGGTAGATGATAGTAATAAATAGAAATGATATTTTTGTCCTATTAAAAATTTTTGCTCTAACGGTACCCTTTATAAATTATATTTTGTATGTTATTAATATATTAAATTATCATTTTTTTTTTAGTATTGGGAGAGGATTTAAACCTGAATCTTAGCTGGATCGTATATGCACTTATCACTAGACTATGTGTTGATCTGTTATTAAATTATCGTGTTGTAGTAATGGTGATGGTATTAATTTATTTTAATTAATAAGAATTCAATTAATAATGTCTAGACATTAGTTAAAATTTATAATTCAAACAATTTAAATACCGTATCTTACCATAGATGATTCTATTCAACAAAATTTTACAAGTCCAATAATTTAAAATGGATAATAATAAATAAGTATTATTTAATTATTTAATATAAAATATAATATTAATTTTTTATTGTTAAATATCAATTCCACAAAACTTAGAAAAATAAAGAAAAAAATTAAAAATTCCTATACTAATCTATATTAATCCAAAATAAAAAATATTTTAGTTTAATTTAAATTATATAACTTAAATAGATTAAAAAAAATAGAAAGTGGCATATATGTATTTACAGACAAGAATTTTACAGATAAGTTCAAAAATTTTGAAACTATCTATTTATATAAAGAATTTTTTAAAAAATTATATCCATTTATAGAAAATAATTTTTTTAAAAAAATCCAATTTGTTTTTAAAAATAAAAATATATCCAAGTAAAATATAAAAAATAAATAAAGAACGAAATATATAGATAAATATGGATATTTTACAGACAAGTTCAAAAATTTGAAAGTGGTACATATCTATTTACAGAAACGATTTTGTTTTTTCAAAATATGTCCAATTAAAAGATAAAAAAATAAAGGAAAGAAATATATTAATTTCTATAAATAAATATGAGTACTTTAAAGATCCACAAATATTCAAAATTTGAAAGTAATATATATTTATTTAGAAAATAATTTAAATATTCCAAAATTTGAAATATATATATTTATTTAGGAATAATATTTTAAAATATAATAGTTGGTATATTGTGATTAAAAAAAACAAATAGAGAAAAAGAAATCAAAATAATTTAAGTATTATATAATATATATATATATAATATATATATACTTTGTTGTGATTAAAAAAAAAAATAGAGAAAAGGAAATAAAAAATTTTTTAAAAATTGTGTGATTAAAAAAAAAAAATAGAGAAAAGAAATAAAAATTTTTAAAATTTCTAAAAACAGAAAAATAGAATATTGAAAAGGAGAGCATCACATCAATATTTTTAAAATAATTTTTCTTCAGGATTATATATAGATTTAGATTCTTAAGTTTCTAAAATATCTACATCTATCTATTTATAATTCTACAATAGGGAATGAGTAGGGAACATTGAAATTGTAAAAAAATACTCCCATTAAATTTATATATTCATATAAATATTATTAAATATCATTAAAGATTTTAATTTGATTGGTAAAATAAAGGTAATTTAATTTTTTTTTAGTCATTAATTTTTTATTTAGATCAAATTCTATTCAATAAAATAAGAAATTATATTATATAACATATAAGGTATATATTAAATATGAAATACCATTTGGTTACAGCTTTCTTGTAATTCAAACCGATAGTTTTGAAACTGAAACTATATAACATAATATTAAATAACATATGTAATGTATATATTAGATATGGTAATATACACACATTATATGGTAACATAATATAATATAATAATATTATTTGATGGATGCTAATGAGTTATATATTAAATAAGGTAAAAATGTAATATCTTTAAAGATTTTTTTTTTTTAGAATAAACATAAAACTATACAATAAAAAAGTGCAGCTATATCAGCCTACACTAATGGGAACAAACAAACTGGAATTCACAAAGTGCAGCTATATCTTTAAGGATTTTAATATGTTGAAAGAAATTTTTTTCTAAAAAAAGTAAATATAAAGTTAATTCTGCATACATTTTACCAAAAAGTACAAAGAAATAAAAAAAATATATCAAAATTGTAAACAGCGATATAAAATAATGATTAATAGATTAATTATTATAATAGCTATTTATCTATAATATATAATAGCTATAATATAAATTGAAAATTTAATCAGCGAATCAAGCTAATCCTAACTTTATGAAAATTTATTATTATTATTTTTTATTATTTCATAAACTATTTTTTTTCTATTTTATGAATACTTTTAGATTTTTACTAAAATAAACTGTTTATAATATTATAATTTATAATAAAATTAATAGAAATTAAATTAAATTACATTTATTTACAACAACTAAAAGTAAACGAATACACAAAACATACAATACATCCGAAAAAACTAGCTAATTTTAAATGTTAAATATCATATTTGAATTGGCATTTCTAATTTTAATGATTGTTAATTATCGGAATTGAGAGTATTTGAGAATTGGTCTTTGTTTGGAGTAAATTTGAGATATATATATATTGGTCTTTGTTTGGAGTAAATTGCTGATATATATACTAATATACTTATATATATATAATATATAATATACAATACTAATAATATATAATTAGTATAACTATATATATATATATATATATTATATATTGTGACGTCAAGATAAACTTCTATATATATTGGAGTCAAGATAAATTCTATTAGGATAAGAATTATGAGAATCATGTATAATCTGTTAGTTAGAGTTTATTTAGGAACATAAAATCTTTTAATATATTTATATATATTGATCTTTTATATATTTTATTATTGTATATTATGAATGATTATTGGTTTAAATTCTTAAATGTAACCGTTTGCTAACATTAACCTGATTGATGTAAATGAGGCTTAAACTTGTGAGTATGAAAGGGTTTAGTTACAGTGGAGTAGCAATTCGGCCATATTAGCAATCACGCGTGATCCCAATTGTCTCAAGCTGGTTTACAATATTCTTAGTTTGCATATTCGATGGAAGATCATGACTTTGAAGTCGCATTGAGTATTGAAGGGGAGATTATGACACTGAGCTTCTTTCTAAATTAAGACATCCACTATCGATAGACTTGACTTCTTTGAATTGTTTTTGAGTATTGAAGGGGAAATTATGATATTGAATTCGCATTTTGAATATTGAAGGGGAGATTATGACTTTAAATTCATTTTTACATTTAGAGATGCACTATAATTAGACTTAGGTCTGCTTGACTTTGAATTTTTTTTTTTTTTTTTTTTTTTTTTTTTGAGTATAGGAGGGGGAGATTATAAATATTGAGTTCGGTTTTTTTGAGTAATTGAAGGAGAGATTACATTTTTTTTTTTTTTTTTTTTTTGAGTATAGGAGGGGGAGATTATAATATTGAGTTCGTTTTTTGAGTATTGAAGGAGAGATTACTGCTTGTTTTGTATAGATGAACAGAAAATGTGGCATTCCTTCATAAATGAATTTTAAATAAAATTCAAGTTGTAAATGAATTTTCATGTTTAGAATAAATTCAAAATTGAAAACTCGCTTGCTTTTATTTTCTAAAATATCATTCACATAATAAATTTAGAAGCTAAAATAATGGACAGTTTTGTTATAAAATTTTGAATTATTTCATTTTGCGGAATTCATTTGAAAATTTCACTTTTTTTTTTTTTTTTTAAATTTGGTTTATTTATATTGAAATCCTTTGCGTTCAATTTATAGACTTTAAATTTCATTTTTTTTCATATCAAACATAAAAATTAAGGTTTATAATTATGAATTCCATAAAATTTTATGGAATTCATTTATTGTAAATTATGGTTATGATTTTAAGTTTATTTTTAAATTTAGAGGTGCACTGTCCTCTACTTAACTGAGGTCTAGTTGGATACCAATTGAGAGTTAATATTAAATACTTGAGTTCTCAAAAAGTAGTAAAGTGTTGTGTAAACATAATATTTTCTTTTTAATTCGTTGGGAGACCCAAAATAATGTGATGAGCTACACAATCAAGTGTAGTATGATTGATCTTTTCATTTATGTAGAAAGTTGAAAGTCTTAACTTCGAAACCTCTCCACAGCAAAATGTCTAACCATTTTAACGAGTGAAAGAGTAGACCCATAAGATCAAGATCTAGCGACCACAAGCCCAGTATTATCAACTATGGGCCTAAATTGTAGTGACCTCCAGAATCCAGGACTTGAAGCGGCTTTTCCAACTTGTGTTCCGGGGCAGGACTCTTCCTTCATGCAACGACATCATTTTGTTTTCTGTTACAGTACACACATCAAACGACCGTTTTCTTTTACAAACTTACAGACGTCTTTAAGGACAAGATCTTCGATTATTATTCCTAAAGCTTCTCCTTTTTTTATCAAATTATTTATCAATTTAATTAACAATGGTTTTCTTAATGAGTGTTTATTGATTGGTCCCAAAATTATTTGTTTTTTTTTGTAATTATTTAATTTTATTTATTAAAACTAAAAAATAAATAACATTAATTTATAGCATGTAAAACTAAAAATTAATGTGCAAAAGTTAATTTTCAAATAACTTTTATTTAATTTTTGCTCACAAAATCATTTCAGGAATACAAAATTGGTTCAGAACCAGGAAGAAGCCCCCATTTTTACCAACTACACTAATTATGTTGGGTGGTATTAACTAAATTAATACTAATAACAATGTACTTCCATTTGATTACTGTTCAATTGCATAAAATTATGCAAATTAATAAGTATTAACAGTTGAATTATATATATCTATATATATATATACACACCCTCGCTGCTCAGTATTCACCTGATGAAGAACAAGAGAAATCCTCTCTACTTCGGGTTGAGGTGTCAAAACAGTATTTGTTTAGTGGCTAGCTAGATTTTCATCCACCATGTATTCTAGCACTTTTTTAATGCTCGAACATGCTCGGGCAGAGCCATCTAGCATTTCTCCTCCATTTTTATATTGAAAGAGCGCGCCAATTTATACAACAACGTTAACTCATTGGCAAGAAATGCACATTAGTTCCAACTTTCGAGATTCTAACTGACACTAACAGTGTTCGGGATGAACGATATTCAATATTTGCTTTTCTCTTATCATCTCTTCATTGCAATGCCATTCTTGAAATTTGAATACCGAGCTTCAAGATCAAACTAAGAATTCCAAATTGAGCAGTTCGTTAAATTCCTCAAAGTAGCCAATTTCTGGAGGTTATCTCTATTAGTTCTCTTCTCCTTCAGAATTTTGAGCACATCAACCAAAACACGGGCTGACGCGTATAGGGAAGTAAGTGGATGCACAATCAAATGAAATCCCATCGCCTTTAGCTCCTCTGGTGTGCGTAATGGTGTGACTCCTCCTTCGATCATGTTACAAACCCTGTATCCTTTTGTTCTTTTGCCAATCTCTTTGAGCTCATCGTCACTCCTTGGTACTTCATCCTGCCTGCGTAGTTAAATCTAAATTCGATAATCCAGGTGACAAAATCTCTCATTTATAGACATTAGAAGGAGAATTAAGATTAAAGAGAAACCAGATACCAATGTAATGAGATCAGATTAGTAATTTAGTAATGAGCACAAACTTAACCTAAGTCTCTGACCCCAATTTATTACCCAAAAGCTGCAGAATGTCTGTAAGTTTGGGTTATATTATACTACAAAATATTGGGTAGTATATTGGGCTGTCCAAATATTTTATCAAAATAAAATCACTGAAAGATATATATGAGCTTAACCACTTAAGTTCATCAATCTAAAAACCTTTCTTCCTCATGGGATTTTCCCATCAGATGACTGCTATTAGTCTGTGAGGTAGGTTTTTAGAAAGTACTTGGGTTAGACGCAGATAATGATCCAGGTTATTGACAGTCACTCACACATGCAAGCAAACTTGCCCAATCAAAAGTATTTGGAACAAATTAAAGGCCTTGTCCCTTGGAACATGATAAGATAGGCCAAATCATTATTGGAACAGAAACAACTGAAATTTTAAGACCAACCTTCTCCAATGAGAAAAAAAAAAGTCATCCGTGTATATGCAGATTGTGACAAGCTACCCAATATGAAATTTATTTTACCACAAAGGAAATAAAGAATTTCTATCTAAAAATGCAGGAAACAAATTAACAATTCTGTCATGTTAACTGGAATTGTCCATGATGTGGAGAGCAAACGGAAGTCCAAACACCTTCCAGATAAGTACAAAAATAAACCAAACTGAATACCACATCCTGTCGACAAAGTGAACCAAAATGTTACATAATATATACCTCCATGTAGAGATTGGCCCTTGAAATGGCAACTGAAAGGTCATTTTTTGCTGATGTTGCACGTGCATCAGTCCTAGCAACAAGGAAGAAGTCAGAATCCCCAAAAACATCCCTTGCAGAAGCTATTTTTGCAGCATGTTCCTGATGGGACCACGCGTACCATCCAACCCCGAATTAGTATGATATTGTCCGCTTTGGGCCAACCCCTCACGGATTTGTTTTTGGGCACCACACAAATCGTGACCTCCCCTCAGGGAATTGTCCGCTTGGGCCAACCCTCCACGGATTTGTTTTTGGGCAACCACACAAATCGGGTGAACTCCCCTGCAGGGATAATCTGCCCACCATTATATTGTTGATCCCAACTTCTCCTCTTTAATCCGATGTGGGACTTGGAAGCGCAATATCCGCAACAAACCTCCCTCCAACCAAAGGACCAACAACAAATCGTGACCTCCCTCAGGATAATCTGCCCACTCATCTGTAAGCCGCCGCTACAACTTTGCCCGGGATACGACCGCCCGAACTCCTCTTGTCGGGAAGACTTTCGACACACAGGCACCACTGCAGATCCTTTCTCTGGTTCTTGGTTCCTGTTTTTACAGTACAGACGTCAGCACCGAGATTTTCTCACAATCTGTGCAGTTCACACAACCCGCTTCGAACCAGGGCCTCTGATACCACTTGATGGGACCGCGGCCGTACCAATCCAACCACCGAATTAGTATGATATTTGTCCGCGCTTTGGAACCAAGCCTCACGGATTTGGTTTTTGGGCACCGTCCCAAAAGGCTCAATACCTAATAGGTTGGATTTCCAAAAGGCCTCATACTAATAGGTTGGATTTGAACCATTATATTTTGGTTCCACTTCTCCTCTTTATCCGATGTGGGACTTGGGAGGATATCCCAACAGTTCCTGCAGGTATAACCTGAAATATAAAGAAAATAGTGGAGAAAAGGAAAAAAAACAAGAAGAACAAATTCTTAAAATAATAAATTTTGAGTTGACAAGAAACAGCTTATCTAATCATCAGATGTCAAAGAGATCAAATATAGGATATTTATATCCAAAAGTTTCTAACTTTTTAAAAGTACTTGGTTAATCTCCATCTATAGCTAACTAAAAGTATTTTATGAAATAAACAAGTACCTGTTTGCCGCGCATATGCCCTGAAAATGCAAAAATGAAGATAGACAGTAAGTACCAAACCTAGCATCTTAAACATAAAACATCTAGAATCCATTCTCTTCTTAACCATTCCAATCTAACATGAATCAAAACAACGAATAAACAGTCTTCTTAAGCAATTACCAACACAATTGAATTAAAAAAGGAAAAAGAACCTGAAGCCGACAAACAGAGCAGAAGAGCTAACGTGAGTAATCCAACGTCAGGTTTGCCGAGGAGAGAAGCAGAGACAGCATATCCGGATATGAAACCCGCGGTGAAACCTGTATTTTGAACAATGGCCGCGGAAAGTGTGTTGTAGCAACCTGGCATCAGCATTATCCCTTGATCTTCAATTAGACGGTGTACACGTGTATGCATTTTCACCATTGGATAAGCTGATTTAAACTCCGTCTATTGGAGTTTGATCGGAATGTGGAGGAGCTGGGGAAGCATGGTGTCGCAGCTCTGGCTACCACCAGCAATGGCATTGTCATTGACAGAGAGAGGATGCGTACGTGTGGTGATTGGTGACAGTTACGATTTCGTGCTTCAGCTTTCAAACAAGCAAGAGTGTCGAGGCACGTGTGGACCACTGTACAGCAATCCAAACTACTGGGTTGGGCTGACTTTGGCAGTCAAAACTTAAAAGGCCCACATAAAGGTCCGTTGGTTAATAAAAACAAGGGCAGTACCATATAATCCCTAAATTTTAATTGTATGAATAACTTGGTCCTTTTAGCAGACTCATTGTAAAGAAAAGTTTATCTTCAACTTCATTTAAAAAAAAAAAAAAAAAAAATTAATATAAATTTTCGATACGAGGTTTTCAAAAGATTTTAGCCGTTTTAGGCTTTTTTTTTGGGCAACAAACTTGGCAAAATTATGAAAAATTGATGGCATCCTTACTTTTATTAAGAATCTAATCACCCAACACTATAAAACAATTACTTTATATTTAAATAATACTCAAAGATTAATAATTAATTTAAATATATAAATTAAAAAAAAAAAAAAAAAAACATTGCTATTAATATAATTTTCGATAGAGGGTCAAGATTTTTAGCCGTTTTAGGCTTTTTTTGGGCAACAACTTGCAAATTATGAAAAATGATGGCATCCTTAACTTTTATTTAAAATACTTTATCACCAAACACTATAAAAATTACTTATATTTAAATAATTTACTCAAGATAATAATTAATTTAAATATATAAATTAAAATAAAATAAATTAAAAATATCGGAATATGAAATGAAGGGTTAAAGATAAAAAAAAAAAAAATCAAGTTATGAGGGTTAAAAAATAAAATTTGGTGTTCACAAAACCAAAGAAGGAGGAAAATTTTATTGGTGTATTAATGTATTTAACGTTTGATTTGGTTATTTGTGTAGTTTTATTAGTGTTTCTGTTTAATTTTTTTTTTAGCTGGTGTAGTAATGAATTTTTTTTAATTTTAAATTATTTACTCTCAAGAAACACTTTAAGTTTCTTAAAAATATTATATATATAAGTTATATTGCTATATTCTTATGTATTTTTGACAAAAGTGTATTGGTTCCTCCTTTTAAATATATTATTCATTCTTTCTTAAAACTTCAGAATTTTATGCATTTCAACTATTTACACTACTAGGGCAAGTAGTTTTTACTCAAATCTCTTTTTTATCTCATTTTTTAAAGATTATTTAACATGTGTTTGCAGTCGTAAATTATCAAATATAAGTGAAAAATACGATATAATTCAAATTTTGAATATAAATAGAGATGATTGAAAAAAAAAAAGTGAGGGTATCATGATTGTGGGATGTGTCTTTCAACAATAGTAGATATTTTATGAATATAGGGCATTGCTGGATGAAAAGGTTAAGTATAACATTTTACATTTTTATTATTTGCATAACCAATTAAAAATAATGCTATCATTTTAAATATTTAAGTAATCATTTTTAATATTTATTATTATAGGGAAATTATATGCTAATCACTTTAGGACTTAGTTCTTTCTGTTTAATGATGTAAAATCATTTTACATAAACTATCGGTTTTAATTTAGCTGCAAATTAATTTTTTTTTTCGAATATTTGTACTAATAGTTCAATTCTTTTTTATTTTTTTTTAAAAAAGCCCAAAACTAAAGTTTATATAACGGAAAAAATAAATATTGTAACTTTAAACTTTTTAGATGAAAAATTAAGGATAAAAGAAATTAATATTGGATAAACTTTTTAATTTTAACATTTAAATATCTTTAAATTTTAAACCCGCATATTGAAGGGTAAATATAAAAATTAATGTTGAATTTAATATTAAAAGCTTTCATTATAGAAATTAATTTTTAAAGAAACTAATTGGAATTAAAATTTAATTTCGACAAAATTTAAAACATACTATGCTAGTTATTATTAAAAGTAAAGTGGACTTGTAAACAATTTAAAATGAATTAAATATTTGATTTAATTTGCCATGAAAAATAATTGGACAAATAAGTTTAAGTGAGGAACAATAAGTTTATTACTTACTAATTCAACAAATCTTCTTATAACAGGAAGATTTATCTCCATCAATGTCTATCTTCAAATACAAAAATTTAATATTTGTTTCTTTTAGTTTTATTATTATAAATAATATATAATTCTTTTAATTTGTTAAATAATATTGTTTCTTATCCAATTGAGTATTGATAAGTCTTGATTTTATTATTTATAAATTATATTTCTCAAAAAAAAAATCTTTTTATAACAAGAAGAATCATCCACCACGAAAGTATTGTTATTATTTTGTTTTAATAAATTAAAAATTATGATTAATATTGCTGAACAAATTTCACTTACAAGTTAGAATTGACAGATTACCAAGGCTTTTTTATTCCATTCATTTCCCCAAAATAATTGACAACAGCAAAGAAAATAATATGATTATAAAAAATTTCTTCCCTACACCCAATTTATGAGTGGTCTCATACGTAAAGCCAATCAAAAAAAGATTTAAAAAAAAATTTATTGTTTTGTCTTTTTTTTTTTTCAATGCATGATCAGAAATATACTTGTTTAAACTAAGATACCGTTTGTAATTGGTTTGGTGTATAGGTTGACTCATACACCCGAATGTATATAAGTCTTTTCCATGATTATAATCTCAGTCCACAAAAATAGAAAAATTGAAATGAATTAAGGAAGAAGAAGAAAAAGGGTGTGTGAACTGAAAGAGATACCCATCAAATAAATTTTAACTTTTCCATTTCCAATATAACTAGGTTTGCTATTGTAGGTGATCATAAAAATACACAGGAACCAATTTTTGATATCAAAGAATTTAATTAATTATTCTTGAAAGAAAGATGGATCTGAATTTTTACTGAGTAGGATACCTTTTGTCTGTTATTACACTATAATCATATATTTATTCAATATTATATTTATTTTCCAAAATATAAATACATATATACCAATACCATGTATCATATCATATAACATTACAAAAAAGAAAGAAGAAAAGATATATAGAGAGAGAATAATATATGTGTTATATATTAAAGAAACTTTGACATATATTTTCTTGTAATTCAGTGCATTGATTGAAATAGGACAAACAGAAAGCTCTGATACTGACAAAATCTTATATGCTTCACATCCCTAACCTAGAAAATAATTAAGGATGTCTCTTGAAACTCACATGAATGTCTAAATCATATGTTTGATTCAGGCACAATATATAAGGTTGAGAAAAAAAAATATTTATAGAATTTTCAGAGAAATTAATAAATTAATATGACATCTGAACTACTGCTACTTCATTTGCATGCCATCAACATTTTTCACAAGATGATGAAATAAAAGTGAAGCTAAAACTACCATATGTTTGTACTAACTATAAAGAAAATAAAGAAAAAAAAGAAGTCCCTTTTTAATTTGGTGATCAAGAAGATATACCCACACCAAGAAAATCTATGAAAGGAACCTCCTTATTATGTCTGATAGATTCTTCTCCTCGTTCTTCCGCCTGACTGCTCATCATTCTCATATTATTCTTCAATGTAAATGATGATGAATTACCGGAATAGCTCATCATTTCTTTCTTCGAAATTCCATTGTTAATATCTTCATCTTCATCTCCAATTTTTAGATACCCAAATGGACTTGGAACAATTCTTCTGTAACTCGGAATCCCAAAAAAAGTACGGCAATTGTTTCTATAAATAGTAGAGCTTTCACTAGGGTAATTAAATCTAGAAGAACTGAAGCAATAATCTCTTTTTTCTTTTCTTGGTAATGGCAAATGATGATCAAGAACTACAGAAGGTGAAGAGTTATTTGATGGGGCAAAAATCCAAGAAGGTGAAGAATTATTTGATGGGGCAAAAATCCAAGAAGGTGAAGAACTAGTAGCAGTGGAAGAAGGGATAACTGAGAATAATCTATCTGTACTTGGGTTTTGAAATTCTAAGATTTTACTATTTTCAAATCCAATTCTTGAACTAAAAAGATGATGTTCTTGATGAGATCTTGCTTTTCTTGGATTATTGAAGTGATGATGATCATTAGGTTTTGTAGATTTGGAGTCATGACTGATTATAAGGTTTTCTTGATGATGGTAACTTCTTTTCCCACTTATCTTGGCTTGTTCTCTTTGTTTTCTTGCCATTATTACATGCCAGTGGTTCTTCACAGCATTATCAGTTCTTCCTGGAAATAATCTTGCTATTAAAGCCCACTTGTTTCCATGAATTCTATGAGCTGCTAATAATCTTTCCTCTTCTTCTTCACTAAATGGTCTTCTGTTTATTCTAGGGTCTAGTTGATTAAACCACCTCAATCTACAGCTCTTCCCTACAGAAAACAAAAAAGAAGAAAAAAATTGATGAAACAAAAGTAACTATCAACTTAACAATCAAGTGTCTATCTTACTTTATACAAGCTAAACTATTCAAACTTTAATAATTTCCTTTATTTAAAAAAAAAATCTAAGAAATTAATTAATCTAAAATCCATTTAAGCTGTATATAAAATTGAAAGATCCTTCTAATAAATCTAATAAAATAAAAAAATAAATTTATGCAGATGTATTTATAAACCCTAACAGCTTCCATCATCTTTAAAATTTTCAGATTTCAAAAAAACTAAAGTAACAAAATCTAAGAATTAATTAATTAAAATCCATTTAAGCAATAAGCGGAAGGAAAGAAACAAATAATTGAGGCAAATCTATATATAGATAGAAAGATCATAATAAACCTAATTAAGAAAATAAATAAAAAAAAAACCTGATCTTCCTTGTAGCTTCTCAGCAATAGAATTCCAATTTTGTGCACCATATTGTTCCACTAATTGCCTGAGTTTTTCATCCTCAGCAGGTCTCCAGTGGCCTCTAGGACAAGAAGCTGCACTATTTTTAGCATCATCGCTAGAATTTGAAGCTCCAGGAGGTTCTTGATGATCCATAAGACCAAGACCAAGACTATCTAGCAAGCACAACCTAATTAACAAGCTTTGAACAAAATCTTTATCAGCAAATACGTCTGAGATAATTCCAAAAGAAGATATATATGAGCACAAGAAATGAAAGAAACTAATTAACAGAGGTAATAAGAAAGTGGGGTTGGTTTAGTTGTTGATGGCAAGTCACTTTTGTTGGTTTTACACGACACATTTAGCCTTTAGAGACAGCTATAACTAGCCACCATTATATAAATATTGTATATAAATTGTAAAATTACTACTGTAGAGAGAATGACCATTTCTTGTTATGCTATTTTTTCTTGATCAAACCTTAATTATTATTATAACACAACTATTTTATTTCTTCCTTTTTGTTCTGGTGTTAGCTTTCTCTATCTCATAATCTATCTCACCATTTTCAGCCACGGTACTACGTTAAATCACAAAAAAGAAAAGAAAAGAAAAACTAGGGACCTTAAGTACTATTTATTGTTATTAATTAAAAGAGACAGTTCTCCAATTGCAAAGACTGCTTTCCTAAAACCTATGATCAGGAAGTTAATCAAGCAATTATTAAGGTGGAAAGAAATTATTTTGGTCTAATAATATATACTAATTATTATTTAATAAAAAATAAAAAAGATTGATCAATATCTATGTCTTGATTTTGGTATACCATTGATTGATATATATATATATATATATATAATATGAATTTTGGGGTAGCTGAGCTGAGGCTATATTGGTCATGGCTGACCAAACAAGCAATGCTGATAAGAACCCTAAATTGCATGCATTTGGTAAAAAGAAAAGGTCAATATCAATCCAAATTAATGTGGCATTAATTGAAGGCTACTGTATATAGCATTTCTTGATTCTCTCTGGAGCAGTTTTGAAATGGTGGGGTGAAAATATATCAGATAGAGATAAATAAGACTGCATAATTTGGTGTCAAAGCAAGTTGGCAAATTCAATTAAAGTTGTTATGCCCTAATTTGGTGATAATATCTTGTTATAATTGATAAGCTCTGAAAGCATCCACATGCACCTGATTTCTGTTCATTATTAGAAGAATTTTTGTTTCAGAATTATTTGGTACCATTAATGCAACTGCTTTATGATTATTATTTTTTTATGACTGAGATTCTCTCGATCTCTCTTGATTGTTTTTGGATCACCATATTTGAAATTCTAGATTATAGACCCTGTTATCAACTGTGAGCATATAAATATGATATGATTGGTTTTCTTTGAGTCTTGTAGAAGATATGAGAAATAGAAGGTTTGAAGTTCCAGTTTTCTCTACCACAAAAATTATAATCAAATATTTTCCCGCTTTGTTGGGTCTAGGGACGGAAGCAAATAGTGTCCAAAGGGGCCCTGGCCCCCAATATAAAAACAATTTTCAATTTGTAGAGTTAAAAAAATAAAAAAAATAAAAATTTTAGTTTGATCCCCTCATTAATCAAAATTATTGTTTGATGCCCTAATTCTTTGCGCTAGGTCGGTCCCTGATTAGCCTCATATATATATATATATAAATATTATTTTCATACTAGAAAAATGAAAAACAAATTAAAGATTTTAGCCCTTGCATATGTAAATAAGGCCTTGGAAAGGGAAAAAGAAAAAAGAAAAAAAGAACTTTCACTGATGAACAATATTTTTCTTTTTATCTTTGTTTTAACTCATTACAAAAAAAAAAAAATAAAATCCCTTTTAATGCTATACATTTCACATTCAGATAATTTTTAAAACATAAAAATTTGAATTCATAAAATTTTGATAATTAAAAATATTTATTGAACAAGCATTCAATATCATAATCCAAATGCTTTGCTATAATTTTTATTATTGTGGGTAAGTATAATAGTACAATTTATTAGAATTGTTAGAGGATAAAAGATTAAGAGAAAAGTAGATAAATGTCGGGCTCATGACTGTCTCCTATAGGTAGTATTAATCTACATCTATGCATATAAAATTATGGTAGACTAGCTAGGCTATGTGGCAAATCTTTGATCAATTTAAGAATAAATCATTTGGTGAAAATCTGAATCAAACAAACACACTGGAATAAATGCATTGTTTGAAAAACATTGAAAAGGGAATTAAGAAATGGTAGTTGCAGAATAAAGACATGATGACAGTTTATCAGCTTAATTAATGATTTTACTATTAGCTAGCTAGCCAGCTAGGTTTATATAAAAAGCAAATTAATTAATAAAACAACATTAATATCTAATAATATGATGATTGAGATGATAAGCAGTTTCAATTCTTGTAAAAATGGAAGCACAAAACTAATCTCAATGAAACACAATCACAGAAACGGTCACACTTTCTGATTCTTTAAAAAAAAAAAAAAGACTTTAATAACTAAAATAACTAAAATTTGAATTTGAAACTTGGAGCTGAGAGTTTTATTTATGATATATTCGGTAAAATTAGTTATTTTTATAGTTGTTGACTGTTTTAATAGCGTTTTATAAAATGTTAAAAGAGATTAATTTTTATAAAACGTGACATTAACATCTAAAAGTTTATTCAAATATTGTATTACCGAATATTATAAAAAAAAATAGCTTTTAGACCGATAAAAAAGCTAAAAAATATTTTAAAAAGTTGTTACTGAATGCAATTCTAATATAAGTCTCAGCCCGAACATGAAGACACATATTTAAAAAATAAAAAATGAAGGGTTAATCGATGAAATGCCGTGTAAGAACAGCATAAAGAAAAGAAAAGTATGGGTAAACCGTCTGGCTTTTCCTATACTTGCATTAATTCTATTCCATGCAGATGGCAAGTCAAATACAAAAAGGTTGAAAAATTATATAATTAATTAATTAATTTAATTAAGCACCACTAATCATTTTTTTAATTAATTAGTTTTCTTAACTGATTGAGATTTTATACCCCACGAAATCAAACACCTGAAAGCCCATCCATTAACGTCATAGGCTTATAACAAGAAAACTCTATATGAAGAATTGGTGGGTATAAAATCAGTATCTAATTAGAATTGGTGGATGTGCCTATCAGATTTATTCTTTTTTCTTTTTGTAACTTTTTATCATTTTAAATTTAATTTGTTATTTAAGCTTAACAGAAATTAGTTGATGAAGTACACTGCATGATTTGATTTGTTCAAAGACAATCTCATTAATTAGGTTTGATTTTTTTTTTAATTTCTTTTTTGATGGATTAGACTACGCATCTATATATCTTGTGTGTGTGTGTGTGTATATATATATATACTATAACTACCTTCAGAATTATTTCATTCATTTTTACAAAAATAGTTTAGTCGGTCCATAAATAATTTTTTTATTTAAACCGCCAGTATCCGAACACATTACTAGAGATTTCCTAATCCTGCTTAAGTTAAGCGATCCATAAATAATTTGATTATTTTTCTTGTTAGGTTTAATTTTTTTTTACGTATATATTTATGTGCATAATATTATAACAAGATAGAAAACTTACTCTCATTCCACCTAAAACCAATTATTAAAAAATAAATCAAAAACTGTTTTTGCATCATTTATTGATATTATATGAATGCACTTATACATAATTGGTTATTTACCTATGAGTTTTAATAATTTGAAATACGACATGATCTTATTATAATATAAGGTTCTTGTAAAAATTCCTTTGTGGTCTGATGGATGATCGATCCTATCGCAGCTGTTATTTATTTATTCATTTTAAAAATTCTTAGGTATGAAATTGAAAATAGCAAATTATAAACATGCTTGCATATTGGATTTGTACAGTTTCAATTAAGGTATAACTAACTTAATTAGGTCAGTCAATCAAAATTCAATGTGAGAATTCCAACAAATTGTTGTGACAAAAAAAAAAAATAACAAGAGAAAAAATTGAAAGAAAATTATATATCTAATTATTGATATTTTTTTTCAGAAAAGAATAAAAGAAAAAAAAAAAAAAAAAAAAAAAAAAAAATTCATTTTTAAAAATTCTTAGGTATAAATTGAAAATAGCAAATTATAAACATGCTTTGCTATTGGATTTGTACAGGTTTCAATTAAGTATAACTAACTTATTAGGCTCAGTCAATCAAAATTCAATGTTGAGAATTCAACAATTGGTTGCTGACAAAAAAAAAATAACAAGAGAAAAAATTGAAAGAAAATGTATTATATCTAATATTGATATTTATTTTTCAGAAAAGAATAAAGCGCCAATAAAAAAAAAAACAAAAAAAAAAAAAAAAATAAACAAAAAAAAAAAGAAACCCGAGAATGATACCTTTTATTAGTTTATCATGAAGTTGAAATTGTCGTTTAATTCACTAATTCCTATATTCTTCAGATTTCTAAGCGTCAAATTTTTTAAAAAATTACTTAGTTGGAATTCTGCTTTTTCTACTTTTTTATTGCTTTTTTTATTTAATATATTAGACGTATGTGAGATCATAAAGTTATATTATGTGAATTTTAGGAGTTATAATCCTCTTTTACTATTCTGGGTTCGTCAAAAACTTTTATGAGTTTTTTGAGGAGTTTAGCTTTTAGTGTCTGGTTCATCTATAGAATTTAAGCTACTTCTAAAAGCGTACTTTGATCTTTAGTTAAAAGTATATTATAGAATATAATATCAAGAATGAAACTAGTTGTTTTACCTAACTTCATCAATCTGATTTCACTTTCTTATAACCTTCAGATTCTTGAAGAATCAGAATCAATATATAATTCGGTTCGATTTTATTTAACACTTCTTCATCTAAAATGTAATTCATTTAACTTTTTATTAAATTTACAAAATTTTGAAGTATGTCCCTTTTTTACCACAATTATAACAAGTTTTTAAATCTTTATAAGAGGTGTTTTATTGAATTTTAAGCTGTTGCTTTCTCTCTAGACTTCCTATGTGGAGGGTTCTCTGGAAAAAAAAAAAAAAAAAAAAAAAAAAGAAAGAGACTGAAAGGGTAGAAGAAAATAAAATTTTGGTAGCTAGCTGGGTAGCATGGTCATAAAAGTACAACAGCAGATTAAGATAAACTATGTAAATTAAAGCGGCTAGCTGATTAATTAAGGGTGATAAGTTTATTAAGTAATAAACAAAGAATGGATGTGACAGTGGCCGAGCTGAGGTGATACCTCAAATTTAAGAATGACTACCAATTCTTACTCATGCTGTTTGTTAGCCACCCAAAATATAGAAAGAAAGAAAACGGAAACTTCTACGTGTCACACAATTATTTGTTGGATTCTATTTCTATATATATATATATATTTGTTTCTATATATATATATATATATATTTGTTTCTTCACATTTCAAGGAAATGGATTAAGGTTATGTTAGTAATTAACTTTTTAAATATCTTTTAATATAATGTTAAACGTTATTTTTAAGGTGTTCAATCACATAGCTTTTAAACTATTTTTAAAAGTTAAGATAGTATTTTATAAAAGATTAACTCATATAATATTTAGTTTTTACAGCTCATTTTCATTTGGAAATCCAAAATTTTATATTTGGAATAAAAAAACATGAATTTAAATTTTATTAAT